TTTTTTTGCACATACTTAAAAAGTCATTCACTGTATTAACATGTGGTCATACTGTGCACCGTCTTTGTCTTGAGAACCTTAGAGAAACTATGTTTACATGTCCTATCAATAATTGTAGTGCGGAAATCGAAATCATTGAAAAGTCACCACTAATGCGGGCTCCATCACAAAGAAGTATGAGCATAGATGAAGGATCACAAGACCTAGTAATATTTAGTAAAAATTCTTTAACAAATCTAGATAGAATCGTAGAAGAGAACTCCGAATCTGGCATACCTGACTCTACTACAAGTAATTTACCATCTAAGCGTGTTGGTGAACCAACAGATAAAATATCAAGTAAGAAACAAAAGCAGGCTAAGAAAGAATCGCATATATTAAAAGATCTTATAAAAGAATTATCTTCTAAGGATCCAGTAAAAACTATTGCTCAAACAGAATCAGCCTCCGAATTAAGCACAAGCCCGATCATTTTTCTTGACTTGTATATTAAAATTGTTAACGCCGAAGATCAAAATAAAAAAACGAATCAAGAGATTATTAGGTGTTATTATGATTTTGGAAAAGCACTCAAAGATCATTTAAATTATTATAAAACTCTTCATCCGAAACAAACTGCCAAGATGCTTGTTAATGACGAAGTTAGGAATCAACTTTCTCAAAAGGTTACTGAGACAACACTTCGAAAAAATACAGAAAAAGCTCGAAAAATTTATAAACTTTTTAATAGTATTGGTGGGAATGATAACATGATTGAGCAATTGATACAACGAGTAAGTATTTCTGCTTCAACAATTTCGAAACTAAGCAAAGATAACATTGAACATATAGTAGTTGCGGTTATAAAAAATAAGCAGTAACGGTAATTTCATGTGGCCATCAGAATTTTATATTCCGATTTTACTGCGCCACAAGTCACATGATACTGTGAACTCGGTTCACACTCTTTCTTCATGATTTTTGTATTACCTATAACTGTATTTGTTATAGAATAAAATTATCTAAGTATGTGTAGTACGTAAAAAAAATCACTTTCATTCAATCTGATAACGTATCATAGAAATTCCTTGAGGCATAATTTGTTTGTAAATGGGTTACAACACAAGTACCACACAGGTTTGTATAATAAAAATTTTTAGCCACGTATATTTTTTCTGTTAATATAACGATGAAAGATCAGAATAATTAATGTTAAATAAAAATAAATCAGGTTTAACAATTTGTACGTAAAGTCTTATCGTCTTACTGTTAATTAAAAAAATCCCACAGTTATCCCACAGTTTTCCCATAGTTATCCCGTAGTTATTAGTATCTGTTGTATTCTATAATATAAAAAAATCCCGTAGTTAAAATTATTC